CCCCCCAGGCCCCTCATCCTCCCATCCCGCACCCCCACCACCATACGCCTGCCCTCCAAACCCGCCCGCCGGCCCCGCCGGCGGCTGATTCTGATGCGCCTGCGACCCCGGGCCCGCAGCAAGCGTATCCAGCGCCCCATAAAACTCCCTCTTCGTCTCGGGCGCCAGATGCGTAGCCGCATCGAGCGCAGCCCTTACCCGCTCAACATCCAACCCGCCCATAAGCGCGCTGATATTCATATCCGGCGCCGCAGCCGGCGCACCCAATCCCAATCCCAATCCCAATCCCAGTCCCACACCAGCTGGCAGTCCAGGTGCAGATGCGGATGTGGATGCGGATGATGTGGAGGTGGTGGCGGGGGGAAGCGCGCCGGAGAGCGAGGAGAGCAGCTCGGCGACGGACGCGCCGGCTTGTTGTTGTTGACTATATGACGGCTGTTGGGCAGAGGGGGCGGAGGGGTAGCCCGGTTGAGGCGGGTGCGATTGGGCGTAGTCGTGCGTCAGCGCTTCGATCTCCGCGCCGGGGAGCATCGTGCGGCATTCCCTATCCGTATCCTCCCTACAAACCAATCATCGTCAACATCCGTTCTCTCGGGTGATGTACAAGAGAACAACGCGTACCTGCTATACACCACCGCAGGCTCCCCAGGCGACTCGGGCACATCCGCAGCCGAGAGGTACAGCGCGCGCAGCGCACTCGCCTCGCGCGCCGTCTGGGCGCCTACTTCTGAAGAAGCAGCACCGCGTGTGGCGTGCGTTGCGTGGAGGTCCGGCGGAAGGTCCACCGCTACAAGCAATAACACGTCAACAAAGCTGCCACAGAAGCAGAAGCAGAAGCAGAAGCAGACGAGAGTAAGAGGGACGTACGACTCGGTTCGACCCAGTCCACGAGTTCTTCGAACGGCGGCCCAGACGCATGATGCAGCGCCGCGCCCTCTCCCTTCTCCAAATCTCGGAGGCACGACGACCCCACGGCCTGAGCATCCTACAAGCATCGCCACAAAATCAGCGCTCAGTCTGTAGAAGCTTCTCAAGAATAATCGCACCCCATCGTCGTCGTACACAGCCCTCTCAATGAACTTCACCATCTCCAACCGTCCCTCAGGCGCCCACGTAACGCTCTTCCGCTTCCTCTTCCCAATAACCTTCAACCCCTCCCCTCCCCCACCCTCGCTCCCAACCCCCGCGCTCCCCCCGCGCTCGCCAACCGGCGCACTCCCCTCCCTCGCTCCCGACACCGCCGGCTGCCCCCTCATAGCCGCCAACGCCTCCTCAAACGCATTCCCCTGCTTCGGCCTCGCAACCGCAACCTCCGCCTCCTTCGCCGGCGGCGCCTTCTTGAACGACGGGAGCGGCTTCTTAGCCTTGGGCGCGCTGAAGAACGAGCTGTCGCTCTTGGACGTGGCTTTCGAGTCGGTCTTGACGGTCGACGAGGCGCCGCTGGCGGTTACGGCGCGGACGGTCGTGCGCGAGGTGGATGGACCGGCCGTAGCATTGGACGAAGCGGGTTTGGTTGAGGTGGCCGACGCGGGCTTACTGGACAAGACGTTCGCAGCGGCCTTCAACGACGACACCGTGACGGCCTTCTTCGCAGGCGGACCATTCGCCGGCGCAGAAGCAGGCGGCGTCTTGCGCTTCTTGCCTGTTCTCGCGTCGACGGCATACAGGGTGTAGGGGTGCGCGGGGAGCACGGAGCCGGGCGGTGGGGCGCGATGATAATGATTACATAATGAAATGAGCCAAGCGCTCGGTCAGCCTTCCATCAGACACGCAAGGAAATAAAGCGCGCACCCTCAACGACGGCCGGCACGTCTTCCTGAGCTCCGTCCTCCTTGCCAATCCCGAGCTTGTCGCACCATTTACGCTCGATGTTCTGCGCGAGGTCCCTGACGGCTGTTATGCCCAACACAACAGCAGATTTTTGTCAGATTTCGACGTTCATTTCGTTTTTGACAATCGCACCGTGGGAAAATGAGATCAAAGGAGGAAAATGAAAGGGGCGTGGGTTTGTGCCCAGTGAGATTGAAAAATGTGTGATTGGCGCCCGTAACGGAACGGCATGCAACGTGTTCTTCGTAAGGCGCACAGCCACCAGCCACCAACCCAACACCGACAACAAGCAAGCAAGCATTTCGTTTCGTTCGGTTCGTTTGGGCAATGTGGACGGTTCATTTGGGTTTGAGCCGTAGCGTTGTTGTTGTGGATGCTTTCGCGTTATTGGACAGGAGCAGAATAGGGGGATCAGGTGTCTCACGGGTGAAAATGAAGAGCGTCCGGCAGCGAATGTGAAGATGATGATGAAGATGATAGGAAGATAGGGGAGGGCGACAGCAGATGAGAGGTGCTTACCTGGAATATCGTGCGGCTTCGTCTTGTGCAGCCTTCGGACCAGCCCTCCGATCTTGGTCGCTTTGAGCGTCTCGGCCTTCTCAATCGGCAACCTGTCGAGCAACTGTATACACATAAAATGAACGCCACAATCAGTTCCGTCTGTTCTGTCTTATGATGACTGATTTCGTATTTGCGTGCACGCACAGTAAGCAGCGGCATCGCCGTAGCGGATACATCGTCCTCCAAGCTAGCCTTAGCGGCCGCGCGCAACCAATCGCGCACGATCTCCATCGCGTTGGTATTCTCCATCCACGCGCGATAGTAATTATTTCCTGCGCCTGCCAGGATCTTGTTCACGATTTCTAACCGGGTCGATGGTTCGACGTCTGTCCACCCATAGTCCGATATGGCGCTGACAAGCGCACGTACGCTCGCCGCCCCGGCAAAGGAGCGCGGCGAGAGCAGCGGGTTGAGCTTTTCGAGGAAAGCGGTCTTCTTCGCTTCGTTTGAGGCGCCGTTTGAAGGTAGAGAGACCTGCGCTGGAGGCGAATGAGCTGGTGGGGTCGCGTGGGTGGGTGTTGACGCTGGGGGTGTCGGAGTAGCGTAGAACGCGGCGGGGTTGATCGCGCGCGGTGCCACGGACTGTTGTTGCTGTTGCTGTTGTTGCAGGGGCGGAGACGCGTATTGTACGGGGGAATGCAGAGCTTGAGGACGCAGACCCAGTTGCGCCTGCTGCTGCTGCTGAAGCTGATTATGGTAGAGCTGCTGGGACGGTTGCGGCTGTGGCTGCTGCAGTGCTGTAGGATTGATGCTGTAAGTGAAACCGTTGGTGTACTGCGTCGTCGGGGGAGTCGGCGTGTGGTGGTACTGCTGCTGAGGCTGCTGTTGGGGTGCTTGGGGCTGCTGGGGCTGAGGCTGCATGAGCGTCGGACTGTATTGTTTCTGATGAGCACGCGAGTCATATACGAATAAGGATAGAGTACGGACTCGATGACCGGATTTGACGCCGGCGGTGACAGTGCGCCGTTGAGGGTCGAGTACGAGCTCGTCGACTGGGCTGGCGGCGACCACGCGGATGTGGTCGCGCTGTACAAGTTCTGTGCCGGGTACGACGTCGGAGTCGGAGTTGCATTGTACGAGCCACCGGTGCCATTCCACGATTGAATCGCATTCATGTCGTATGCGCCGCCTGACCCACCCTTGAGTATTATATTCCCGCCCGCTGACGCTACATCCTCAGCTCACCGGCAAGATTATCCATCACTTGTCGAAAGATATCCGGATCCATATCTGTTGCAGACGTCGGCATGGGCCAACTGCTGGTGCCGTTGAACGACATCTTCTGGGGTCTATTTTTTTCTGCTACCCTCGCAACGGTTCCGTTCGTACACCGTTTACAATGCACGAGTTACGGTATTGCAGGCAGAGCTATTCTTAAAGAGGAACAGAAAGCGGTCAGAAAACAACGACGCGTCGGTCGTGGTGGTTGCGTCTTGCGCGGTTGCCGGCGCCCGCCACGCTCTTTTCCCGTCGCCCCGGCCCTTTCCGGCCCGCCATCAATCAGAGCAGGCCGTGTACCGCCGCCATCGGCCATCCCATGGGCCCTGTCGAAACAGTAGACACGCCTTTTGCTTTCGCACTCCCATCACTGGCATAAGCGCCCGTCTTGTTTCGCGCGGCCGCATATCCGCGAGTTCAATGTAAAAGTGAGGTTGTAAGGACCCGTCCGGCGCGCGCGGCAGGGGCCCACAGGGGCAGCGCGGTTTCAAATTCGCAGCAAGGGCGGGCGTGGCGTGATCGGGAGACTAATGTACGGTGACATATAGTGTTTGCGCGTGCTTTAGCAAATCCCGGGTATTGAAAAGAACCCTTCAAATTCGATTGTGGTTCCTTTCCCAACGACCTTCTTTTCACTTGAATCAAAAGTCGCGTCTTTCCTTGAACGCGCCTTCACTTGCCTTCTCCCTTCAGCCATGGCCGACGCTAACGCCCTCGCATACTTCGAGGCTCAAAAAAGCCAGGTATGTGTCCTCGCCGTCGTCGTCGGTGCTCCTATCTCGTAGTCCCCTCGTTGACAAAAATAAAAATAGTTCGCCGCCGGCCTTCACGCGCTCGCCGAGCATCTTCGCGCCTGTGCCGGGCAAGCCGAGGGATTCGCCCAGTTCGTAAATGCGTCTTCGATCCCCAACGGCCAAATCGTGCTCGACCCGAACTTCATTCCCAACGCGCAAGCTGCCGTCAACGGCGTCGCGACCGCACTCGCCGCGCCTGGCAAACCCGGCCGCAAGCGCAAGAACGCGGCGCTCATCGACGGTGTCGAGGCCACACCTGGCAAGCGCCGTCGCGCGGTCAAGGAGAAGGATCCGGACGCGCCGAAACGTCCGGCGTCAAGCTATTTGCTCTTCCAGAACGACGTCCGCGTTCAGTTGAGGGAGAAGCATCCCGAGATGGCGCACCACGAGATCATGACGCGCATCTCGCAGCTGTGGGCAGGTCTGCCGGCGGAGGAGAAAGAGGTACGACTTGTGTTGTGGTTTCTGTATTGGAGGTTTTGATGCTGATGAACGTTGGGGTACAGGTGTATGAAAAGAAGCATGCGGGTATGAAGGTTGACTACGAGACGCGTAAGGCCGCGTACGATCTGTCGAAGAGCGGCGGGACACCAGCCGAGGTTGCACCTGTACCCGTTGTC